CCCTGGTGTCCGTTTTGGTTGCGGGCTTGTGAACTGTGTCTGTCTCTATCTGTCTGTGTGTGCGTGTGTGTGTGTGTGTGTGTGTGTGTGTGTGTGTGTGTGTGTGTGTGTGTGTGTGTGTGTGTGTGCCAGGCCCTCCTTTCCTTTCCCTGATTGTCACTCCTGTGCTCTCTGCAGAGTGTCGAACTAGCTTTGCAAAAAAAATTGTAAATTAGATACATTCTCATTCATTACCGTCGCAGGGTCGAGTTAGTTTCAGAACAACTTGAATCATAGCGAAAGCTAGTTCCAGAACAATGAGAGGGAAAGCGTTGGGACAGTTGTGTTCCCTACAATTTGCGTGCAGTCTCGTCACTGAATCGTTTTTGAGGAACGGATTGTGGAGAAGTAATGTGGCAATGACAGTGAAAGAGAGGATGGAAGGGAAGAATGATGGACAAGTAACAAGATGGTCTTTTGAGTTTGAGCTCAATTGAGACCGTCCAGCTTGCTGAAACATCAGAAATTTGTTGGGAAGGTGGAATTTGCAAATTCAACATAACACATACCGTGGAAGTTATTTCGGCAGGAGCAGGAGGAATAGGAGGATGACAAGGACGAGGAGGAGATGGAGGGGGAGACGGAGAGGGTGGAGGATGAGGATAAGGAGGAGGAGGAGGGGGAGAAGGAGAGGGTGGAGGAGGACAGCGGAAAGACTAGGAGGAGGAAGGGATCACCAGCAGCACTCACGGGAGTCGGAGTACAGTGGCAGGGGGAGGAGGGCATGTGGACTAGGAAGAGTAAGAGGAGGAGAAGGAAGAGGAGCAGCAGCAGAAGGAGGAAAAAGAGGAATAGTAGAAGAGAAGAGCGGAGGTGGAGAGGACCTGGAAAAGGAGGTGGTGAAATGGAAGGAGAGCTGTTTCCATATTCTTTCGATAAGGAGGTGACCGTCTGGAACATCATGTCCGAAGGCGGCATCTGAAATCTTCGATCTCATAATGAGCCTCCAGGTATGGGATGAATTGAAGTAAACAAGTGGAGAGGTACTTGTGAGCTGGATGCAGGCCTGTTGGTTGGCTGTATGGTGGTTGCTTTGGGGAGGGCAGATTAAACCCGCAGTACTTCCTAAAGTCGTGCCAGTTAACAAGCCGCAAATTTGTTTTAGTAAATGTATGGGCCACTACAGGAGCGCCCAAATTCATCCGACAAGAAACATTTCTACTCTATTTTTTCCCGCACCGGCCGATAGCTGTGCCAAGTACTGGTGGTTTAACGAGGGAGATGCTCATTGGGGGTGCACTGGCTAGAATGACCAGGTTTAAGAATTATCAAGAAGTATAATGCCCATTTAGCCCCATTGGTCATTCAGATTTCTCTGGCTTTCAGAACATGAAGAGCAAGAAGGCTTCTAGTTTCTATACAATTCTGATGCTCTTCCCCTGTTGTCTTATTTATTTATTATTATTATTTTCTTTAATTTATAGATTTTGGTGTCAAACGTTTCCTTCCAATTAAGAAGAGCATTTTGGGGATGTGAGTAGTTAGGTAGGTAGATTGGCTTTCTCAAAACTTTCGAGGAATTTTCCAGCCTCTTTCAAAGCCTTAGCGAAATCGCTTTTTGCACGCCCAACTCCCCCCCTCCCTTCCACTAGCCGTTTCGTGGTTTTTCTTCTATCTCACAAATTTTCACCACGGTGACCTTTTCGCTTTGAAAATATCGAGGTTCCGTATGATTGATTTCTGGTGGATATGTTTAATGAACTTCAATCTTGTCCTAGATTGGTTTTGGGCATGCGGCCTTCATAACAGTTTCTCTTTTTGCACAATGTGTTGGGCTTTTTCTGCATTAAGTTTTTTTTTTGTTGCATAATGCAAGCTGGTACAAATCCTCGCTTCAAGTGTCAGGTGATGTATGTGTATATGGTAGCATAATCTAAGCTTAGTTCGCATTTCAAATTTTGGCCTCAAACAAGTTTTGCTGCAGCAGTATGTGCACTTCGTTTTTTCTGTGGTGGTGGAGGGGGGGTTGGGGTTGCGTATATGCATTCAGAGCGACTGCTGGTCGATATCTATAAATTGGATCTTGTATCTTCCCATTTTTTATTTTAATTTATTTTATTTTAGTTTTTGCATTCCAAATTTTAATTCTAAAATTGAAGTTTCATTTGTTTTTAATTCTCGGGATTAAATTGGAGCTCTTATTATACTAGCTTCTTAAAGTTAATAATCTTAATAATTTCATGAATGTTGATCAATTTGGAAGTTTCAAGTGTGTTCTTCGAATCTGGTATTAACTACTACTAAGTTTAACTGTGAAATATGTACACATTGTACAGTTAAAAGTACTCAATATACTATCGGGACTGGGATGTTAACCATTTTGGATAACGTCGAAGCGAATGTGATATTCATTTTTTCATCATTAGTGGCTTATAAAATTCTTCATACAGTATTTTCTAATCAACTGACTCGGAGGTGCTGTGCTCACAATTATTCAATTTGCGTGCAATTCTGAATGTACTATGTCCAGTCGCTACAGTGTAATGAATCTTAAATTTTAATAATTTCTGTATGTTGCTGAAACTCGTTTAGAAAACTGTTCTCTAGTGAAGCTGTATTGTTTATTAACGTTATTCAAAGTTATTCGCTTCAGTTGTTGCGATTTTTCATAGCAGCTCCGTTCCTGGAAACAACAGAAACAAAAGACAAAAAAAATCAAAAATCAATAATAAAAAAGAATAAACCACAGAAGCACTAGGGACTACCAGAGTGGCCTGGGACCATTTGCCAGGACGGAACGAAGTTATCGAGTTTGTTTTGAACTCGGGAAAGATTTGGATATGAACCTGACCTAAATGTTGTTCAGTTTACTTTTCTGTGTTACGATCCTGGTCACTTCCCAAGTGCAAATTCACAATGAAAGACAATGCCACCCAATTGCGAAAGAAAACACTTGCGAAGAGATAAAGACCAGAGGAGAGGTAAAGAAGAAGAAGAAGAAGAAGAAGAAGAAGTACACCAGCAAGACAAATGACAATTCCCCCTTCTCTCTCCACCTTCCTCCTTCCTCCCTCTCTTCACCAATCTTATTCTTCTCTCAATAATAATAATAACAATGAATGGATGAACCAGAATCAATGTCCGAAGTTCCCCCTTACTGCTGACTC